ATTCCAGGCATTTCCTTCAGTGTAGATAAGTTCACATTCACAAGACTCAGAGTGACTCAGAGAATAACAGACATCCAGGGAAGGAACAAAATAGGACGTCACGACTGTTGAGGGTGTAGCTGGTGTGTAGGTCACTTGCATGCCTGGAGCCCAAGGTGCTCCAGGAAGTCACGTTCTTGTTGGAATCAAAACCCTCTTGAATGGAGTAAGGCTGACGCCCACTGTATTTATAACTATAAATTGTCATGGATGTACAGAAGGAATGGCTGTTCTTTAAAACATCCACAACCTTTATTGGGAACTGAACCTACCACCCTGCCCCAAGCCAGGGTCTGTACGGGCAAGATAATGTCTTTTGTTCTTTGTGCTACAGGAAGATGGCTCAGCCTGCCCAGGACTAAGAGAGCAGGCAGAGGTCCTGAGTCCAGGTGGCCTCCCAGACAGGCAAGGGTCACCGAGGTCCTGGTGAAGGTTATGAATCATCTTCTCCGGAGATGGATGACTGCAATTAAATAGCAATCGAAGCTTACATAAGCACTCGCCTTTAAAAGCTCGTATTTCTGCTTATTATGAGGACGATGGCCATTAGAGACAGGACTCTCCATCCTTTCCATCTGCGGAAATTAATAAACTTCTTTTACTTCTCCTCAACACTGTTCTTGTTTTCTGACATGGCCTTGAGACAAGTGCCGATCTTCTAAACCGATGGATGCAATAAACATAATGATTACAGAATATTAAAAATTTTAAAATACATGCTTTAGCATCAATGTGACATATTGTTAAAAGCCCAGAATTAAAAAGAAAAAGAAGAAAAGAAAAAGGAAATGGGTTGGCTTTATCTGAGCAACTGAAAGAATCGATATGTTTATAGCTAGTGAAGGAAGAGACAAAAGGTACGAGATTTCCAGATAAAAAATCTGGGTTTGTGCTTAGGAAAAGGGTGATGGTGCCATCTACGAGAGTAGAGAGATTTGGGGTTGCAAATGGCCAATTTGGGACATATTTTATATTTTTTTAGGTAGCAATTAGAGATAGTGTTAAGGAGCTTTAAGATTCATTGAAAGAGGCTTATGAAAAAGACTTTTGTTCCATATCCATGTCAGAAACCCAAATCCATGAAAATTGGTAGCTGAAGAAATAGAATAAGGATCACATTGCTGGTTCATACAATATTTTATGTCATATGCACACCATGTCACCATAATGCAGTAAACTGTCAAGGTGCCAAAAAAAATGCTTCTACATCATTTTCATTGTGAAGGAGTAGATGGAATTGCATGCGTTTAGAAACACAAATTTCAAGATTAGACAGCCTAATTTTCACAAACTATTTAGACTGGTAGATTTCATTGAGCGCATGGCCAAAATAATAATTGTGTCTACATGGCATGTTTTAATAGCAAACACCACCTGCAGGCTGATGATGTCCATTTCCAACCATGATTCCCCAAAAGGCAGTTAGGTTGGTACTATTCACAAAGTTGATGCAGCAAACACTGATGGTCTGGCTTCAAGTGACCTTGCAGGAGTGGCCAGGAACTGGAAATGACCACCAGATCTCTACAAATCAGCCCTAACTCTTTGCCCCAGATGCAAAGCCGCTCAGATTTCTTTGATTTCCTTGTTGGTTATCCCTCCCTCCAGATCTTATTTGTGTTTCTTTAGTGAAATTAAGATAAGCCCACCCCAATGATAACCTTCTTAAACAGATTTTCTAATACCTATCTCCACAACCCAAGAATGCCACAACTACAATCATGCTCAAGATCTGTAACCCATGGTAAATGTAAGCCTGTTTGTTGCTATGTTTTGGAAATAGAGCACTCTTGTATTTGAGTAGTGTTTGAACAAAGATTGACCAAGCTGCTCTCTTCCCCAGGTATTTCAGACCCCAAAGGTATTGTTCTCCACCCAAAGGAAGTGTTTGAAATGTTTATATACTGAAACAGCTAAGAAAAAAGCACTTTTTCATGAGTTAATGTTCACCTGAAGTCATATTTCGAAAGCCTGCAACAGCAGACCATCTTTCGGGGGGTAGGGTTGCTTGTTAAATAACCATAGGTCCTGTATTTTCACTATATGAATCACATATTTATGGAATAGAACCTCTCAAGGGTAGGGGGGTGACAGAAGAGAAATTAGTTATTTCTTAAGCACCCGAAAATATTGATTCTGATTGACACTCATTTGGAACGTCCCAGCCTCTGAACAGCTTCTCATGAAATGACAACCGCTTATTTCTGAGAAGCTTACTCACCCCGTTCCCATTATTCATCCCCCCTCGTCCAAAATTCCCATCTTTCCCATATATTATAACATCCCCTTTACTGGGTCCTTCTCAAGCATTTAACATGTTCTAGTATCTTCCATTTAGAAACACAAACCAGGGTTCTCGTGCCTGATTTACACACATGGAGCCTATCCCACTTCACTTCGCCACTGCCTCCCCCTGCTTCCGTGTAGTGAGCCCATGCCTCTTCTGAGACACCTGAATACGCAGTCCCTGCCCTTAAAGCCATAACTCTCTGAGTACACATGGTTGAAAGAAAAAAAAAAAAAAAGAAGAAACTGTAAAAATAATTAAAGAGGTGTATTATTAAAGCCAGTATTTGTGAATGCAGCCAAAAGGAGCCATGCTTGAAATCTAACCAATGGTCCCAGTGTTATAATTACAGTTTGATTTTATGCATTTTAGGGAGACAGCAATTGCAGGTAAAACCATAAATCAAATACGTGGAGGTACCCATTGGTTTGCCCAAAAGTGGACATCTGATATGTGAGGGTGGGCGCGCTTACAGGTTATAGGTGGTCAGAGATTCCTTGATTTACTTGGAAAGAAATTAAAGTTTGTCTACAGGCTTGGAATGTTTAAGTTAAGGATAAGGAAGTCTGTTAATCAGAGACAAGCCACAATATAACTCAAGTGACTATTAAGCAAATGGATGGCCCGAAGGTATTTCACCTTGTGTCTGCATGGCCTTAGGCTCTGTTAATGATTTAGTATCTTATTGTCACAAAAGACTTAGATCTCTGTTTAACATTAAGCTGGCTCCAGTTGTTGCATCTAAACTCCAAAAGAGAAGAGGCATAATAGATATGACCTCTCTTGCCTTCATGCCAGGAACTCAGTTTTAAGGTTTTTTGGGGTTCCCTTGGCCAAGGAGGGGTGAGATGGCGTTTAAGTTTTATTTCATTTACAGCAGTTTCTGATTCTCAGCAGCACATTCATGACCCCTCACTGTCTCCTCTTGGGAAACACTGTTGCCGGTTTGCATACACACCCCCTTCCTAGTTATTTTTCTTTTCGGACTCTGCTACTCAGAGAATTAGCATTCCCCCTCTCTCCAATCTTCAGCATCATGTTTTTTTTCTTTGTTATTTCTTAACCTCTTGGGGGAGATTTCAATCATACATAATAAGAGGCCGAGGACGTGGGTACTCACGCCTGTAATCCTAGCACTCCTGGAGAGCCGAGGCGGACAAAGTCAGTTCAACCACCTGAGCAAAGCGAGACCATCTCTACTAAAAATGAAAGATTAATTGGCGAACTAAAATATATTAAAAAATTAGCACAAGCATGTGGTGCATGCTGTATCCCAGCTCTCCGGAGGCTGAGGCAGAAGGATCGCTTGAGCCCAGGAGTTTGAGTTGCTGTGAGCTAGGCTGACGCCACGGCACTCTAGCCTGGGCAACAGAGTGAGACTCGTTCCTCAAAGTTATATCCATACAAGGACACTTTGTATAATTCTTTGTAGAAATTATGAAGAATAGAAAGAAATCCAAAATATAGCTTTAGATGAAAACATAAAGGCTACATAATAATGAACTTTAAAATATATATCTGCCCTTACACAATAAATATATATAACCATATATACATGTATATATACATACATAAATGTATTCTTACATATACATATATACACACAAATATATATCTGTATCCTTATATATTATACATATATCAGTATATATGTATAAATATAAAAATACACATGTATGTAATGTACATACACATATAACTTAATAATATGTGTATGCATACATATATGTATAATATGTAAGAATAGATATATGTTTTTGCAAGTTAATAACAATTATTTCTGGTAAGTGATATTGGTGGAGTCAAAAGGCATGGAGAAAGACTGGCTTTTTCCCCAGTGATATTCTTCTATAGGTTTAGTTTTTAATATGCAGGTATATGCAAATATTCCTTATCATCAAGTTTTCTGTTGGCCAATGACAGAGGGTAGGCAAAATTACGAAGTGAATAAAATTTACCTGGCTTTGTTTGAGGTCCCTAAGCAGCTTATTAAAGTCATATTTTGTAATAAAAAGTAAGACAGAACAAAGCAGAACTCAAGGAAGAGAGAACAGGGGAGGAACTGAGGGAGGGAAGGAAAGGAGGAAGCAAGGACTCACCATGCCTGAGTGTGTGTAGCAAATTGTGTAAAATTTGGCTCTTACAACTAATGCCAGCTCCCCTGTAGAGACACAGCCAACTCAGTCCTCGGTCCTTGTCATTATGCAGGTATCAATAAGATAATTTTTTGCAATAACTATTCTGGTAGCCAGGGGATTATCACCATAAATTGTGTAGTCAGGGAAAACCAAGAAGTCGTTAATAATTTTCTAATACATTCCCCTTTTTCTTCTCTGCCTCTTCTAAAACCTTTAAATTTATTAGCTTAGTAACATGGTTTTCATGACAACACAACGGAGAAATCTGAAATTGCAGGATGAATGGTTTTATATTGTCTTCTTGGCAGACAATTTTGTCTTGATTAAAAGCTAGTGATTTAGGGTTCATTGTAAAGTTATAAGGTTATTTTTATAGAGCTTTAGAACAAATGAACGTTCTTAAAGAAGAGCAGGGAGTGAGGAGGGACGGGTCTCAAAGAGGGGGCCTGCTAGGAGCCATTGTCACATCTGGGAACAACAGGCAGAGTAACTGGTGACTGATGGAAGGTTGCAAGGACAGCTCTGGGGGTCCTCACCTGGGCTGAAGACAGGCCTACGACCAGAGGCGCAGTGGGGTTGGTGGGTCCATGGGACTCCAAGTGTGCATATCACAGAACAGCCAGCCCGGGTCTCCCATGGCAGGGACGGCTGGGTGCTTGCTGTCTGACCTCGGCCAGCTGGTGGCCCTGGAAGTACCTTCACCACTCTTCCAGGGGTGTACCACACCACCCCCTTTACAGACACCCAACTTCCTCATTCTTCTTCTGACCTTAGAGCCTACCTTAAAACAAGCAAAAAACAAACAAAGCGGCGAAGTTGGCTAATGATTTGCTGCAGGGTTTCTCCCTTGCCCCCAAATACACAGGAATTAGATTAGCCAAGGCCGGAAGCGCAGACTAGTGTGCGCCTGACTAGCTCGGTCCTCCTTAGACGTTAAACTAAACGTGCTTCATCACGTACCGCCATGTGGCAAGATTGAGCCCTCCTCTGCCCGTCAGCCTTGCTGACACAGGGGAGTGGTGAGTTGTGTAGAGAAGTGACTCATTCACATGGGACTTAACCCTAAGTGTATCATTTATTAATGTGTCACCAGGCCTTACATTGGGAACTGTTCTGGTGAAGGATCCACTTCCCCTGAGAGCAGTGCCATTGGCCAGCCTCATGACCTTCTGCCCAGTGGCCTGGGAGGTGCTGGGAGCACCGTGCAAATGGCGTCAGGAACAAAAGGTTTTTATTGTGTATCCCTTGCTTATGTTCCACATAACTGAAATAGCTCGCTGGAAGCTGCAACAGTGCTGGCTCCTTGCACGGCGTATGGGTAGGTGAGCACTGGCCAGGCAATCGGGTGCAGGGCCAGTTTGGGTGCATGGAAGGTAGAGATAAGGGCAGAGTGAAGGATGTCCAGGAACCAGCACCTCCTCCTGGAACTAGGCAACTCTCAGCTGCTCCCATCAGCAGCCCTGAGTTTCAGCTACAAGGAATGGACTCTCCATTCCAGTTTATAAAAACACACAGCCGTGGCAACCAGTGCCCAGAGTAGCTGTCAGACCACCACCAACCCTTGATTAAAGTCTTTTGTCAAGTTGACTGCTTTAGTTTTCCATTCTGGGCCTAGTTTGCTTTGATAGCAGGCTTGCATGTCAGAAGAAATCAGACTAACTCATTGGGTGAGAAAATAAAGTATCATCACCTAAGAAATAAAAGAAATCAGGGGGCTGAGAAGCTTCCCTCTACCTAGACAAAGCATTGCTGGTACGTGGTTTTGTTAGGAAAACATGCCAGAGCTGGAAGCCCCGAAGCAGGGGACTCGGGGAGTGAGAATCAGCACTTCCCAGCTGCAGGCCACGCCGGGCTGGGGTGTGAATGGACAGGTAAACCCCGCTGGTAACATGCCAGTTGCCATACAAGCTGGGTGCGATTTGCTTGTCTTAACACATCACAAGATTCCCAGGGCATTTTCCCTTCCAGTGTAGGATATGTTCACATTTCACAAGCCTCAAGAGTGACTCAGAGAATAACAGGACATCCAGGGAAGGAACAAAACTAGGACGTCAACCGACTGTTGAGGGGTGTAGCTGTGTGCTAGGGGTCACCTGCTATGGCCTGGAGACCAAGGGTGCTCCAGGATGTCACATTTCTTGTTGGAATCAAAACCCTCCTGAATGGAGAAGGCTGACGGCTGACTCCGTTACACAATAACCTGGAAAAGCATCAAGAACTAACACGAATGCAGCCTTGACTCCACGGAGCACTTGCTCTAAGGAATTTGGAAGCACATTTTTCTTTTGAGGAAGAGAGACTTTTTCTTGTGTCCTACAGTAAGGACACTCATGTCCTCTTTACATTTTTGGTGCACAGAGAAGCATAGGAATAGTGGTAGCTGAGCTGGTTAATACAAGGAAGTCTAATTTCCACCTATCTAAGCTTCTCTGCTTCTGTAGAGCCAGGGAGAAATACTCCCCTTCTCCCTGGCTCTACTGGCTTCAGTCCAGGTCCAGTCATTTACGGCCGGTCTACACCAGGGCTGGGCCCATTCCCCGGTTTCTGGATACAACTTTATCTCATAGCTACATCCTTGCAATCTCAGGGATCCTGGGTGTATTTGGCTGGGGCTGGGAAGACAACTACTGGCAATTGAATCCCAATCCTGGGTGCCCACTTGTTTCTCTGCCAGTCAGCCTCCAAGAAACAAAACTGTGTTGGAGTCCTTTGCACACTTTGGATACCTTTCTTTCATCTGATTTCTGAAACCAATCAAGCTCCAGTTAACACACCATAAAATTAGAGGAGATTTACTGTCACCAATCACTACCCAAGCCTGAGAGTTGAGACTCCCTCACTCTGCATGCCAACAATGGATTTAAGGATGGAGACATTTCGAATAGTAAGGTTGTGTTTTTTTGTTTTTTGTTTTTTGTTTTTGCTAAATGCCTTTCACTACAGGAATTCTATCCATGATCTTGCCCACCACATTGGAAGCCCGGGCACTTCTTAGATGTTGGAGGTTTAAACACCAATTGCTAGTGGTGATGGTGGGGATGCGGGGTATGGATGGAGCTGCCCATTTCAGACACTAAGATGGTGGGAATGGGCCACATAATGTGCCTTGGAAGAAATGCTGTTGCTTTTCAATCCCTTCAACAAATACTCACTGATCATGCATCAGGAGTAGGGATAAAGCAGAGAATAAGACAAAGCCCCTGTTTTGTGGAGCTTCCATGCTGTAGAGGAGACAGACCATAAACAAGTAAACAACTAGGTGTTTTTTAAATAGTGAAAGTGCTATAAAGGAAACAAGCAGGGGGATGAGATGGGGGAGGATGACTTCAGGTAGGGCAGGGCAGAGCATGTAGCTGAGTTCAACAGGAAGGCTAAGACTGAGCCAGCCACACAGAGACCTGGGAAAGGGGAGGAAGGCGGGCACTACCATTCTTTGTTTTTGTTTTTGTTACTTTTTTTCCCCATTGGATTTAAGATACAGCTATTGTACCTCTAAAAAAAGAAAAAGAAAAAAGCCCACTGTATTTATAACTATAAATTGTCATGGATGTAACAGAAGGAATGGTTGTCTCTTTAAAACATCCCCAACTCTTTATTGGGAACTGAAACCTACAACCCTGCCCCAAGCCAGGGGTCTGTAGGGGCAAGATAATGTCTTCTGTTCTTTGTGCTACAGGAGATGGCTCAGCCTGCCCCAGGACTAAGAGAGGCAGGCAGAGGTCCTGAGGTCCAGGTGGGCCTCCCAGACAGGCAGAGGTCACCGAGGTCTGGGCGAAGGTCATGAGATCATCTTCCCCGGAGATGGGATGGACTGCAATTAAATAGCAATCGAAGCTAAATGGCACTCGCCCTTTAAAAGCTCTGTATTTCTGTTTATTATGAGGACGATGGCTTTAGAGACAGGACTCTCCATCCTTCTCATCTGCTGGAAAATTAATAAACTTCTCTTTACTTCTCCTCAAACCACTTGTTCTTGTTCTTCTGACATGGCCTTGAGGACAAGTGCCGATCTTTCCGTAACGTGGATTGCAAAATACATTTTGATTACATGATATTAAAATATTTTAAAATACATGCTTTAGCATCAATGTGACATATTAGTTCAAAAGCCCAGAACTTAAAAAGAAAGAAGAAGAAAAGAAAAAGGAAAGGGTTGGCTTATCTGAGCAACTGAAAAGAATCTGATATGTTTATAGCTAGTGAAGGAAGGAGAAAAAGGTACGAGATTTCACGAGATAAAAGAATAAATCTTGGGGTTTTGGCTTAAGTAAAAAGGGGTGATGGTGCCATCTACTGAGATAGGAGAGACTTTGGGGTTGCCAAGATGCCAATTTTGGACATATTTTATATTTTTTAGGTAGCAATTAAGAGAATAGGTGTTAAAAGGAGCTTTAAGATTCATTGAAAAAAGGCTTATGAAAAAGACTTTTGTTCCATATCCATTCAGGAAACCCAAAATCCATGAAAATTGGTAGCTGAAGAAATAGAATAAGATCAGCATTGCTGTTTCATACAATATTTTATGTCATATGCACACCATGTCACCATAATCAGTAAACTGTCAAGGTGCCAAAAAAAAAAAAATGCTTCTACATCATTTTCATTGTGATAGGAAGTGGATGGAATTGGTATGCTGTTTAGAAACACAAAGTTTTTCAAGATTTACAGCCTAATTTCACAAACTATTTAGACTGGTAAATTTTTCATTGAGGCCATTGGCCAAAAAATAATTGTGTCTACATGGCATGTTTATAGCAAACACCACTGCAGCTATGATGTCCTTTCACACCATGACTTCCCCAAAAGGCAGTTAGGTTGGAACTATTGCCCACAATAGTATAGATCAGAAAACTGATGTCTGGCTCTCAATGACCTTGCAGGGAGTGGCAGGACTGGAAATAGAACCAGATCTCTACAATTGCAGCCCTAATTCTTTGCCCCAGATGCCAAAGCCCTCAGTTCTTTGATTTCCTTGTTGGCTGTATCCCTCCCTCAGGATCTTATTTGTGTTTCTTTAGTGAAATTAAAGATAAGCCCACCCCCAATGATATACCTTCTTAAACAGATTTTTCTAATATCCTAGTCTCCCACAACCAAGAATGCCACAATACAATCATGCTCAAGGTCATTGGTAACCCATGGTAATGAAGCCTTTGTTGCTATGTTTTGGAAATAGAGCACTCTTGCTATTTGAGTAGTGTTTGAACAAAGATTGACCAAGCCTGCTCTCTTCCCCCATGTATTCAGACCCCAAAGGTATTGTTCTCACCCCAAGGAAGTGTTTGAATGTTTATTATCTGGAAACAGCTAAGAAAAAGCACTTTTTCATGAGTTTAATGTTCACTGAAGTCAATAGTTTGAAAGCCTGGCTAACTAGCAGACATCTTTGGGGGGGAGGGTTGGCTTTTAAATAACATAGGTCACTGTATTTTCACTATATTGAAATCTCCATATTTATGAAATTAGAATCTTCAAGGGTAGGGGGTGACAGAAGAGAAATTTAGTTATTTTCTAAGCACCCTATTGATTCTGATGACACTCATTTGGGGAAGTCCAGCTCTGAACAGCTCTCATGAAATGACAACAGCTATTGTCTGGAGGAAGCATACTCACCCCGTTCCCCATTTATCATCCCCTCTCGTCCAAAATCTCCCATCTTTCTCATATATTATAATCACTTCCCCTTTACTGGGTCCTTCTCAAGCATTTAACATGTTCTAGTATCTTCCATTTAGAAAAACAAACAGGGCTCTGCCCTTGATTTACACACATGGAGCCTGATTCCCACTCACTCCCCACTGCCTCCAGCCTCCTGCTTCCTGTGTAGTGAGCACTGCTCTTCTGAGCCCCTGAATATCCCAGTCACTGCCCATTAAAGCATACCTCTGAGATCACATGGTTAACAGAAAAAAAAAAAAAAAAGAGAAACTGTAAAATAATTTAAAGAGGTTTATTTGAAGCCAGTATTTGTGAA